CCGCTTATGCAAATGAAGCCCGGGAAATTCAAATCCCGGGCTTCATTTGCACTAAGGGTATGTCTACACTACCCCGCTAGTTCGAACTAGCGGGGTAGTGTAGACATACCCTAAGAGCTGTCTGGGAGTTTTTTGAGAGATTATGTTTTCTATCAAAAGTGGTGATTTAGAGAAACCAAACCTTTTTGCGTTGGTTTCCACAATTTCCTGATGTCAAATTTATTTTGGGTTGAAAAAGGTTTTCAAATTGTGAAAACATCCTGTTTCAACATTTTCTGAACAAAAGTCTCTGGGTTTTGGTTCAAAACAACTTTTCATTGAGAATTTTAAGTTAATTTATAGTAACAAAAATCTTAAAATAATTTTAAAAAGTCAAAATCAAAATAGTGTGTTTCAGAACGATCAAAACAAAGCACTGAAATTACCTGAAATGAAATAATTTTTTGAGATTTTGACTATTCATCTGATTTGGGATCGGATGGATTTTTTTAAAAACCTTGCAAAATATTGTAGAACAGGAAACATCACCAGCACTATAATTTAAGCAGTGGAAATTGAAGAGGAAAGGGAAATTATCCAGGTGAAATAAAAATCAGGGCTTTTTTTTCCTCTTTACTAAAAATGCAAAACCTTGAATTGAAGACCCGCAGAGGATAGGAAAGGACAATAAATTCCCAAAAGTATCTAACATCCACATGATAAAGCAACACTCAAGCTTGGAGAGGAAACTTCAGACTCCAGGCTAATTCACTACTTCGCTTCTCTAATGAGGTTGCCAGTAAAAATGCAGAGTTTTTTAATTAGATTTTCTCTGATATATAGATACTACCCTAAATAAATGGACTAAGACCACCAGTTTGTTTCACATGAGCCCCTTTTGGTCATTCACGACCCTACAACAGCCTAGGATCATTATTTAGAAGTGAAAGGCTCTGTGTCTTCCTGTGTTCTGGGGCCACCTCAAGTAGACTGCCTTCAGTATGAGGCAGGCACTGCAGGGCAGAAACTCTAGCCTGGCTTATAGTAGGGAAATTAAACTGGTAGAGGCCCCTTTAATATTTGCAGAGATGACCCATACCTGCCAATAATTGGGGGAGGACAGAGTGAGGGCAGTGGCTTCAACAGATACTTCTGAGCATGCTCAGTACAAGCCAAGCAGCAACTCTGGAGAGGCTAACTCAGTCATGTGAAGAAGTGGGCTGTGCCCATGAAAGCTCATGATACCATCTACGTGTTTTGATAGTCTATAACGTGCTAATGGACCATTTGCTTGCTGTTTTTTTTCTGGGGAGGGAGGTGACCTTGTGTCTTCCCTCCTCCCTCATTACTTCTGAATATTTGTAAAATCCTTTGTATCTGCACATCAAAGAAGACCTAGGAATAGTGCAATAGCCAGTTAGTACACACTGCTGCTCATCTTATTTAACCATGCCACAGTTTAATTTATAGTATCCTCTGGATATCTACCCCAGTGGCCTTGACTCAGCTCCCACAACACACTGCTTCTAGAAACTGAGTGGGAATTGTGGGATAGGTACCCAAAGGACACCCATACATTAAATTGTTTGTAACAGTCCCCTTGTGGATAGAGAACAAAAGTTAAACCACTCCCACATGAGCAGTGTGGATACCCAATACACTCCTTGTTGTTTTCCCTGAAATAAACTAACACCACTAATGAACAATGCAACCAGTTCATTTACTAATGACTCAGTTGATACAGAGTTCAGTTTCAGTGAAGACAAAATCTGTGAGCCAAGTGGATGAGGATTTAGGAGCAACTACTAAAATGATGACAGAGAAACTAATCTTTTAAAGTAGAATATGTGCTGTAGTTAATGGCATACAGGACTCAGTGGGCCATATAAATGAAAGGAATAATAGGTGGATAGTTTTCCATCTGTAAAATGTTACTGTATGCTGCACATTGTCTTCCTAACCATTATGTATCTAACCAGTAATTCTAGTGATCATCTTTATACAGTCTCTGGCACTCCAGAACCACTGAATTGTGACGTTTTACTTTAATGTAGCTCTCCTGCCAGGAGATGTTTGATATTCTGAACAGACTTACATATTTTGTTCAAGGAGACTGGTTCAGTAATTTTCTTTATGTTGATGGCTGAGAGATCCTTCTTTTTTAAATAGTATCAATTTTCCCTTTCCTCATAGTGGATATTTGGTTAAGCTCCAAGCAGAAAATACTTGTTGGGAAATTTTTGCTGAAAAAAAAATGGTACTTACTTGTTTTTGTTTATCTTCACATCCCAGACAACTTTCCAGTAACATTTATCCTTTTTCCTCCTGCAACCAGAAATCCAACTCTAACCTGTAGCAAATAGTAGTTCTCTGTTGAAGAGTTACTTGTATTTCTACTATATATTAGTAAAAATGTGTAATAATAAATAATTAAGGAATTTTTGAAGAATGTTTAGTGTGTCAGAAGTGTAGGTATCTATAGAATTAAATTCTTTGCCTTTTACATTTATTGTCCTAATTTTTTTTGTTTTATTTTGTTTTGTTTTGTTCTGAATAGTACTTTAGCCTGGTAGAGATGTAGGAGGTGGGCTCAGGTTGTGGAGATCCAAAGAGTGGAAGAGATTTTAACTATCAATACCTCAGTCCATCATCTCTAAACTGATTATCCTGATTGCTTAGACATAAATTTTCACCTTGTGCAACTATGAAAAGGTCTTGCAGGAGATACAGCAAACTCAGAATTATCATTATATAACTTAAAAGATTTGGACTATACTCAGATTTCTCACTGACTCATGAGTGCATGTTTTTCCGATCAAACTAAGCACTTATTACTAAAACAATGTTATGTTTAAGATTTGCCTCTTATTTTAATTCATTTAACATGGGGGTGGATATCTACCTATAGTTTTCAATCGTAATTCTGATGGAATCAAATCATTATTTAAAGTGTTTAAAATATCAAAACAATACATTTTTTGAAATAGACATTTCAAATTATCCACACATACCAATGCCTATATATATTCATATACTGTGACAGGGTCTATAAATCCCACATTAGACTTCAAGGAGTTAAGGAGCAGTTCTGGGCCCAGGTGAACGTGCCGCCTCCTCTTCCCCCCGACCCCAAACAGACACCTGCATATCCTGATCCTATTGGAAGAGGAGTTTAAAAGAGAACAAGACCGTTCAGATGAGGGGCGGGGGGTGGGGGGGTAAATGTACCTACCCTGAGAGCTTTTGAACACAGGTACCACAGAAGCCCGCTCTAAAAAGAATAGATTAGCACCAGAGCTCAGCTGGGCTGAAGGTTCAGATTTGTTGTTTATTTTGTTTCACTGTCTTATGTTACACTTTGGGCATCTGGGGGGAGGACTCGATCTGATTTCCCTAGACTTAGGTGAACAAATTTTGTGATCCAGCTGAAGGATGAAGTCACCACCCACCTGAAGACAGGTTATCGTAGTATTGGAGTAAATGCCAGTGGGAGGCATTGGGCATGGGGGAAAGCGGAGTTTCACCGACCTAGAACTATGTGATGCCTCTGGTAAGCCCACATTAGACTTCAAGGAATACATTATTTTTATATAAAGGTTCAATCCTATAAGGCTTACAAT